GGTACAGTAGCTTTGATCGAGAAATGCGTTCTTGTACCAGGTAGCTTCGATGGAAGCCACAGTGAGCCGTCGGTACAAGCTTGTCCGGCGAAGAAAGATCCACCGTCGGATGGACTTCTGATTGGTTAATAATGAAACTTTATTTAGATTAAATGAACGTAATGTTTGTAAGTAATAAAATAAATCCGACATGCAGACAAATTTTGTCCGAGGGTGGATGCGATTGGAGTACTAGCTTTCGGAGCAAGGTTTGGCACGACCATGATGCCCAGCGCTTTTGCAGAGGCGACCAGCGTGACGATGCGTCCGGGAAGATAGCGAGGCCAAATGCGAGCAGCTCGGTTTTGGGTTCGGCTTGAAGCCAGAGGAAGAACAAAACGTGTCGACGAGAGCGAGTAGCGAATGTGCGTCCCTAGCAATGAGCTGCGCGTCATCGGCAAAGCAACTGACGACGTGTTGGCGGTCATTGATCGTGATTTTCCATGGCAGGTGCGCTCGATCTCTTCACGACAAAAAGGCCAGAGTGCTCAGCTTGGCCTGGCTACTCCAGCGCTGGCTCCAGTGGCCGGCTTGCGGCCGAGCTTCTTCATTTACGAACGGTCGAGCAAGATGCAGGGCTGCTACCCCGGCAGCGGGGACGGCGCGCTGCCACTGGTTGCGTGCGCAAAAGGTAGCACCAGCTCTGTCCGACATTCGATGACAACTAACGATTAGGTTGCAACAACGTCTTCCATCGCTCGTGCGCTCCCGATGGCGACAACCGAGACGTCTGGTGCAACGCGTGTGGTAAGTTTGTGTCAACCCATGCAAGTTTACCATATTTTTACTACATTTATGCTAACGGTGCCTTGCATTCCTGCGCCATTCCCTTGCATACAACGAATCGTTTCGTTTCATAGTAGGCAATAATATTTCATGATTTTTTGCTCTCGTGTATGGACTCTTTGAAGGGCTACTGATGCACCATTTTTATTCCTTTAATTTCAGCGTCGATTTTCTCTTGAAGCGTATCATCGTCTTCAATGTTTTTTTAAATTATGTCGATTAGCAACGAATTTGAAACGCATCTTGAAGTATTTTGTGTGCATTATATTGACTTATTTCGCCTCATAAAAGCGCTTCATTTCCATTTGAAAATTGAATGAATTTTTCAAGTCAACGCAGTGTCGTACAAATTGACCGAAAATGAAGTGAATTATTTTGTATTCGCTGTATTAGTATAATTTTGCTCGAACGCCTATAAAATGAGCTCTGAACCGCATCGTTGTACGCTCAAGCAAGCCATTTAAAAAAAATCTTTAGAAAATCATCACTCAGTGCCCAATAGAGCCATAAATCAGTCCACCGAGCTCGTATATACTGTTTTCGTCATTCATGTAACGAAAGGCATATACTAGTATGAGATTTGTTGCTCTCGCCAATTTTGATGGGGCCGTTTTGAAGGCACTTGAAATGCTATTAAACTATATTAATTAATTTAAAAAATCGTTACGATCGCAGCACTATCGCAACTAAGATGGTATCGACGAGTAATCTTTCCTAACGAAAATGCCCCAGCCACGAGATTGTACGATGATGTACGGCGAAGTTATGGCTCTTATACGTCTCGAGGCGCTAGGTGAAGCGATTTAAAACGAGCTGATATAGCTTTACATACAGTTTCGTTGGTGGTGAAATGAGTCGCATATGTAAAGTGAGGTAGGCGTGTTGGTGCAATATAAAATAATTGTATTGTAATTCGATAATGAAAATACAGTCTAAAAATTGTATTAAAGCGTAGGGGATGGTTGGAGAGCGCGACGAGGGTCTATGAGTGATATTTTGGTATGATGTATGAGTGGCGTTGATGGTGCGAATTTTAATGCGATTTAAAAGTGTAAATTTGTGATATTAGAAAGTGGATTAATATGGTGTTTATTGGTTTCGAAGCCGCAATAGCTCAGTTGGGAGAGCGTCAGACTGAAGATCTGAAGGTCACTGGTTCGATCCCGGTTTGTGGCAACACTTCTTTTTGCTTGTCTACTGCCTCACCACTAGCGCCCACTTTTTCTACTAGTTTTCCACGACTATTTTCCATCTTTTTTATATTTACCATATTTTTTACTACATTTATGCTAACGGTGCCTTGCATTCCTGCGCCATTCCCTTGCATACAACGAATCGTTTCGTTTCATAGTAGGCAATAATATTTCATGATTTTTTGCTCTCGTGTATGGACTCTTTGAAGGGCTACTGATGCACCATTTTTATTCCTTTAATTTCAGCGTCGATTTTCTCTTGAAGCGTATCATCGTCTTCAATGTTTTTTAAATTATGTCGATTAGCAACGAATTTGAAACGCATCTTGAAGTATTTTGTGTGCATTATATTGACTTATTTCGCCTCATAAAAGCGCTTCATTTCCATTTGAAAATTGAATGAATTTTTCAAGTCAACGCAGTGTCGTACAAATTGACCGAAAATGAAGTGAATTATTTTGTATTCGCTGTATTAGTATAATTTTGCTCGAACGCCTATAAAATGAGCTCTGAACCGCATCGTTGTACGCTCAAGCAAGCCATTTAAAAAAAAATCTTTAGAAAATCATCACTCAGTGCCCAATAGAGCCATAAATCAGTCCACCGAGCTCGTATATACTGTTTTCGTCATTCATGTAACGAAAGGCATATACTAGTATGAGATTTGTTGCTCTCGCCAATTTTGATGGGGCCGTTTTGAAGGCACTTGAAATGCTATTAAACTATATTAATTAATTTAAAAAATCGTTACGATCGCAGCACTATCGCAACTAAGATGGTATCGACGAGTAATCTTTCCTAACGAAAATGCCCCAGCCACGAGATTGTACGATGATGTACGGCGAAGTTATGGCTCTTATACGTCTCGAGGCGCTAGGTGAAGCGATTTAAAACGAGCTGATATAGCTTTACATACAGTTTCGTTGGTGGTGAAA